GGCGAGACTTCATCTCTACAATAAATTAAAAAAAATTTTTTTTTGACAAAGCCTCCAACAACTACCACTGGGGAGAGGAGAACCTATTCAGTAAATAGTGCTGGGAAAATTGGCTGATCACATGCAGAAGACTAAAACAGGACTCCTGCCTATCACCATACACAAAAATTAACTCTAAATGGATCAAAGATCTAAACATAAAATCTCAAACTATAAGAATCTTAGAAAATGTAGGAGACACCCTTATGGAAATTGGAACTGGCAACCAGTTCCTGATCAAAACCCCAAAAGCCCATGCCATAAGAGATAAGATAAGCCAGGTTCGGTGGCTCAGTCTGTAATCCCGTGCTTTGGGAGGCTGAGGTGAGTGGATTGCCTGAGCCCACGGGTTCGAGACCTGCCTGGGCAACTTGGCGAGACCTCATCTCTACAATAAATCAAAACATCAGCAGGGCATGGTAGCGCACGCCTGTAATTCCAGCTACTTGGAAGGCTGAGGCGGAAGGATCGCCGGAGCCCAGCAGGTCAAGGCTATGGTAGCCAGGAGGGGCCACTGCACTCCAGTCTGGACGACAGAGTGAGACTCCAACTCAAAAAAAAAAAAAAAAAGAGATAAGATGGATAAGTGGGACCTCATCAAACTGACAAGCTTCTGCAAAGCAAAAGAAACCATCAAGAGAGTGGGGAGACAGCCCACAGAATGGGAAAAAATACTTGCCAACTGTATATCTGATAAAGGCCTAACATCTAGGATCTACAAGGAACTCAAATGTGCAGAAAGGAAAAAAACAAACAGCCCCATTGAAAAGTGGGCAAAAGACATAATAGACACTTCTCAAAAGGAGATATACATACAGGTAGCAAACAGACACACGAAAAAGTGGTCAGCCTCACTAATCACCAGAGAAAAGCAAATCAAAACCACATTGAGATACCACCTAAGCCCAGTAAGAATGGCCATCATTAATAAAACAAGCAACAACAGATGCTGGTGAGAGTGCGGAGAGAAAGGAACACTTCTATACTGCTGGTGAGAATGCAAACTAGTGCAATCTCTTTGGAAGACAGTGTGTCGATTTCTGAAAAGAACAAGAAATTGACCTTCCATATGGGCCAGCAATCCCCCTTTTGGGAATATACCCAGAGGAACTCAAGCCATTTTACCAAAAAGATACCTGCATGTTTGTTGCAGTTCTATTAACAATAGCAAAAACATGGAACCAACCATGCTGCCCATCGAAGCTGGACTGGATAAAAAAACAATGGAATATTATGCAGCCATAAAGAAGGACAAACATATGGACTTTTCAGCAACTTGGATAGATTTAGAATCTATCATACTCAGTGATCTATCACAGAAACAAAGAACAGAGTACATATGTTCTCACTCATAAGCGGATCTTGAACAGTTATCATAATTCTAAAAGAAAGGGATTGGCAGTAGTGGGAAACTGCCAGGGGAAGGAGGGGCACACCTCATCAACAAAGGTACCTGCATAATGAACATTTATATACTTAACCCTGAACTGTAACTCACCTTTTTAAAATAAAGGAAAAAAAAAAACTTAGCCAGGCATGGTGGCACATGCCTACAGTTCCAGCTACTTGGAAGGCTGAGGTGGAAGGAAGGATTACCTAAGCCCAGCAAGTGGAGGCTGCGGTGACTGTGAGCGTGCCACTGCACTCTAGCCTGGGCGACAGAGTGAGACTCCAACTCAAAAAAAAAAGTGCCTGGCACAGAATAAGTACAATCATGTGCCATATAACAATGTTTTGGTCAATGACAAATGGCATATACAACGATGGTCCCATAAGACTACAATGGGGCTGAAAAATTCCTATTGCCTAGTGATGTCTTGATGATCCTGATCCTGTGCAGTCTTAGGCTAATGTGTGTGTCTGTCTTAGTTTTTAACAAAAAGTTAAAAAAAAAACAACAACTTGAAAACAGAAAAAATCTTATGGAATAAGAAATATAAAGAAAATATTTTTATGTAGTTGTATAATGTACTTGTGTCTTAAGTTGTTATTATAAGGGTCAAAAAGTTTAAAAAATTAAAAAGTTTATAAAGACAAAATGTTATAGTAAGCTAAGATTAATTTATTATTGAATAAAATTCTGTTTTAAATTTATAGATACATGGCTTCACTATTCTGCCCAGGCTAGTCTTCAATTCCCAGCTTCAAGCAATCCTCCTGCCTTGGCCTCCCAAAGTACTGGGATTAGAAGTATGAGCCACCACACCAAGCCAAAAAAACAATTTTTTTTTTCTTTTGAATTGGAGTCTCACTCTGTCACCCAGACTGGAGTACAGTGGCCACTCCCAGCCACCACAACCTCGACCTGCTGGGCTCCGCCAATCCTTCCGCTCAGCCTTCCAAGTAACTGGAACTACAGGCGTGTGCTACCATGCCTGGCTAATTGTTTTATTTATTGTAGAGATAAGGTCTCGCCAAGTTGCCCAGGCGGGTCTCGAACTCGCAGGCTCAGGCAATCAACTCACTTCGGCCTCCCAAAGCGCGGGATTACAGGCTGAGTCACTGAGCCTGGCCCAAAAAAACAATTTAAAAACAAATTTAAACAAATTTAGTGTAGCCTAAGTGTACAATGTTTATAAGGTCTGTAATAATGTATAGTAATGTCCTAGGCCTTCATACTCACTGACTTACCCAAAGCAACTTCCAGTCCTGCAAGTTCTATTCATGTAAGTGTCCTGTACAAGTGTACCATTTTTTATCTTGTATACTGTATTTTTACTGTACTCTGTATATTTGTAGGTACATAAATACTTACCATTAGTCTACAATTGCCTTCAGTATTCAGTACATTAACACGCTGTACAGGTTTGTAGCCTAGGATCAATAGGCTATTTCATATGGCCTAGGTGTATAATAGGCTAGACCATCTAGGTTTGTGTAAATACACTCTGTGGAGTTCACACAATAATGAAATTACAGTGGCCCTTCATATTTTCCTGTTCCTATGCCCACTGGCAAGGAGCAAAGAGAACTAGAACCAGGAGAGGTCAAAGCTTCTACCTTCTGCAGTGGCCTAAAGAGACTATGATTGGAGGTTTCTCATTTGAGCAGAGGAGAAAAAGGCAACAAGGGAAAGAACACCAGTCCCAGTTCCTTACTTCTCTTCCATGGCACTGATCTCTCTCAAAGTGACTAGAGCAGATGAATATTTATAGCAATATTATTAATAATAGCTAAAAAGAGGAAACAACCCAAATGTCCAGCTGAAGAATAGATAAAATGTGGTATAACCATATAGTGGAATATTACTCAGCCATAAAAAGGAATAAGGTAGTGATACATGTTACAACATGGATTAACCTTGAAAACATTGCACTAAGTGAAAGAAGTCTGTTACAAAAAGCCAAAGAGAGTGTTATGATTCCATTTATGTGAAATGTCCAAAATATGCAAATTTATAGAGCTAGATAGCAGATCAGTAGTTGCCTAAGGATGAGGATCTGGAGTAGGGGGGCAGGAATGGAGTGTCTGTTAATAGGTATGGGGTGATATAAATATGTTCTAAAATTGATTGTGGTGATGGCTGCACAACTCTGTGAATATACTAAAAACTACTGAATGAGGTATTTTATTTAATTAATTAATTTATTTAATTTTATTTATTTATTTATTTATTTTTTGAGTTGGAGTCTCACTCTGTCGCCCAGATTGGAGTGCAGTGGCCCCTCCTGGCTACCGCAGCCTCGACCTGCTGGGCTCCGGCGATCCTTCCGCCTCAGCCTTCCAAGTAGCCGGAATTACAGGCATGTGCTACCACCACCGGCTGATTTTTTAATTTATTGTAGAGATGAGGTCTCGTCAAGTTGCCCAGGGGGGTCTCAAACCCGTGGACTCAGGCAATTCACTCACCTCAGCCTCCCAAGGCGCAGGATTATAGGTAGAGCCACCAAGCCTGGCTTGAATGAGGTATTTTAAATAGGCAAATTATATGGTATATAAACTGCATCTCAATAAAGTATTTTTTAAAATAACTAGGAGGTAGTTATTGAAGATGGTGCCAGGAACTGCGTATAACATAAAGTATGAATCTGTGCTGGAACTGATGCAGAGAAAAGAGATCGCTTCTATACTGTTAGTGGGACTGTGGAAAACAGTGTGGCCATTTATAAAGATCTAAAATTCAATTTTCCATATGACCCAGCAATCCCTCTTTTGGGAACATACCCAGTGGAATTCAAATTATTCTACAAAAAAGATACCTGTGCACACGTTTATTGCAGCACTATTCACAATAGCAAAAATGTGAAACCAATCACGCTGCCCATCAAAAGTAGACTGGATAAAAACAATGTGGGACATATACACGTGGAATATTACGCAGCCATAAAGAAGAAAAAAAATTATGGACTTTGTAGCAACTTGGATGGATTCAGAGTCCATCATACTCAGTAATCTATCACAGAAACAAAGAACCGAGTACCACATGTTCTCACTCATAAGTGGATCCTAATACTACAAGAAAGGGATTGGCAGTGGCGGGACACTGCGAGGGGAGGGAGAAAGTGGGGGAAGGCCTGTAACATCAGTAGGGGTACCTGATCCCAAACCAGGCAAAATGAGGATCAATGCGAGGCCCAAACTTCACCTGTATGATGATCACTTACATACCTAATCCTAAATTGTACCCCATATCTTTAAAATAAAAATAAAAAGTTAGCCTGCCTTTGCAGTTAGAGTTTTTTTTTCAATAAATCAATCATTTCTGATCTAAAAAAAAAAAGTGTGAATCTGTATGTATCTGTGGAGGGGCTGGATGACCAAAAAAGCAGGACAGGGTGGCAACAAGGACAACACCCAATAAAGAGCATTTATTTACCTGGCCTGGTATGTCTTTACAAAACTGTCACCAAAACATTAATGTGGATATATCTTCTAGAAGATACCAGAAAATCCCTGCCCACCCCACCAGTTCTACATGGCTCTAAATTCCCATGCAACAAGTCCTCTTTCAAGGCACTTACCCAGCTGGGTAGGCAACTAAACCTGATCGGGGGTCACAGGCAAGTCCTCTGCCTCCAGACACTGTAATTCCCAGCACCTTCTCCAAGGTCACCTGTTAGAGCAAGACAGAGAAGTGGCATGTTAGAAACAGTAGGTTTGGGAAGTAGGTGCTAAGGTACCTGGGACCATCCTGAAGCACTGACTGCTTTCGAGGTGCCCTTTTCTTCAGAATAGAGCTATGACTTCTCCAGGTTTGTTCTGGCCATAAGCTTCTTGATCACATGTGAAAAATACAATGTGTATCACCTACTTTTACCAGGGCTCCGTCTGCTGGTACCACAGCAAAGAAAAAAAAATCAACTGGTTAAAGCACAGCTCATTGCCACAGAGAAACATGCATTCCCCCAATACAGTAAGACAATTTATAAGCCAGAGTCTTGGGTCCCCAGACTGGGCTCTGGGTCTATGAGACTCGGGGGAGGTCACTGATCTTCTTGCTTTGGCAGGCATGAAGGAAAGGCTACTCTGCCCTACCAAGACCCAAAGGAATGTTAGGTATCAATTAGGTGACTCATAATATCCCTGACCTTTGCATTCTATCACGTTCTTCCCCTCAATCGAGGGTTCTACCTCCCAAATGTCTGCCAGTTCATACAGACTCCAAGCTGAGGAGGCAGAGACATGACTTAATGCTGTGTTTTGCAAAGCATCGAAGCTCAGAGTTACTCTAATTATTATTATTAGGCCACAACTTTCACAGAGATGAAAAGAAAACATGTAAACAGTGCTCAGAGATTGAGACGACATGGCCATAGGAGACATTTATCACTCTCATCAGTATTGTTACCCCCCAGTCTGCAGCCCCCAGGACTCACATCAAACAAACTTCAGATTAGTTCACTCATTGGTCTTTCTGCTAGATGATGCCATGTGGGATTGGACTGCCCTCTAACCTCTTGCTTAACCCTCTACCTCACGCTCTGCTACTGAGTGTTTTGTGTGCCATGCCAGGTCCAGTCTCCTCCAGCACTGTCTGCACTCCCTGCATGGACCCTCAAAGGTGTCTCTGGTCTCCCTTGGCTCAGAAAGCAGGTCTTCTGAATGCAGAGTGGCCCTGTAAACAGGCTAGAAAGCACTCTGTTACGAGTGAGTTTCTAGAGAAGGGAAATTCAGAATCAATTAGGAAAGTTTTAGGATTTTTCCTCTCTAACTGTCCAAATTGGAGAATCGAAAATGCTCCTGGCCGGGTGCGGTGGCTCATGCCTATAATGTCAGCACTTTGGGAGGCCAAGGTGAGAAGATTGCCTGACCTCATGGGGTAGAGGCCAGCCTGAGCAACTTGGTGAGACCTCATCTCTACAATAAATTTTTAAAAAATTAGCCAGGCGTGGTGGCGCATGCCTGTAGTTACAGCTACGTGGAAGGCTGAGGCGAAAGGATCACCTGAGCCTAGCAGGTCAAGGCTGCAGTGGCCATGAGCATGACACTGCACTTCAACCTGGACAACAGAGTGAGACTCCAACTCAAAAAAAAAAAAAAATCCAGGCTCGGTGGCTCAGCCTGTAATCCCGCGCTTTGGGAGGCTGAGGTGAGTGGATTGTCTGA